AAAAAAAAAGGTCAATTGAACATGGCTCCCACTTATTGTATGGATGGATTCAAACATGATGATGATGATGATGATAATGGTTGCCACTTCTATCCATTAGTTACTGTAGCAAAAGTAGTAGACAGACAGACAGGGAGCGAAACAAACAAAAAAAGGGAAAACAACATTTGATAATGATGTTGATATAAATCGAGTGCGGTCATTGACTGTCTGGATTTTTTTTTTCGTTTGTTCCACCTTATCGTGTTTTGATGTCCTCGATGACGACGATGAAAAATAGTTGTTTTACACGCACGCGTGTCTGGAAATAGTTACGTAATGTGCGATTGATTGAAAATTTCATTGAGTTTTTTTTCGATTTGGTTTGAAATTCTGGTTTGAAATTCATGATTTTTGGATAAAAGTTCGTTGAATGAAGAAATATTTAGAAAAATCCTTATTTGTAATTATATCTGGTTGATGTTGATTTTGATATTTGTTGGCAGTTTATAATCAACAAGAACTAATAAACTTCACACGATGATAATATCAAAAAAAAAAAAAAAATTACCCATATCATTTCAGATTCAAATGTCCTTCAACAATTGCTACATTAATTTTTTGTTTGTAAAATGCGTTTGCGCAGGAATTTTTTTTTTTAATGGTGTGATGATGGTAGGGTGATAGCAGTATCTATTCAGGATTCATAACATACATGCGTATTAGATCGGTTAGTAACAGGCAAAAATATTCTCAATATTCTTTTGCTGTTAGCCAAAAAAAAAAATCATTGTTTTAAGAAAAGAAAATTTTCGCTACATTTATCTGTAATTGCGCAGATTTGTCAGATAATCTAAGTGCTTAGGATAAATGGCTTTTGGTTTATTTTTGGTTGCTAACGTCAATATTTTTCATTATTATTAGCAAGTTAAATTGAAGAATACAGGGTTGTTGAACTTATCGTTGGATTTTTGGCAAAAAATCTCATTATTTGTATCGTGTGTGTGCACTGTACATGCGTGATGATTTTATTTTATTTTTTCTTTGATAAAATATAAAAATCCCAACTTGGCAAATAGATCGATATGGTAACGATCGAAAATAAAATAAAGTTTTGTTTTGTTTGGCCAATCAGCATCATTCGAAACAAACGAGTAATAAAAGAACAGAATAAAAATCCATTCACAATCAAATTCCAATACAACAAACAATTTATGAAACAAAACAAAAAAAAAAACCAGAAAAGACAATTCAGATAGGGAGATTCAACGAAGCAAACAAAACGAAAAATCAAAATGAAATAAACTTTCCTTCAATTTTATCTTCCAAATGGACATTATTATTATTGTAGCCATTTTATTAACATCGTCTATCACACATCCATATTATTTTCTTTTTTTGCAGAAAAAAAACCTTGAAAAGGCCAAAGAACCTTGTAAAGAATTTTTATATTCAATTCACTAAACACGCACACCATAATCAATTTAATAGCTTTGAAAACTTGAACAAAATAAAAACCATTTTCAGAATTTTTTTTTTTTGTCCTTGAATAGTGGAAAATGAAAATTTTTCTTTCATTTCACCAGCATTTTACCAGCATTATTATTATGATTAGATAACAACAAAAAAAATGGCTACAGTAGCAGATGTTAATGATGGATACATTCAACCAAGGAAAATGAAAATGGTTTTTGATATTTTTTTTCTTTTGTTGAAAAATGTTATGGATAAATTATCTCAAATCTCATAGTAATTCTCTATACGAGAAAGATTTTCGGTTGATTTGATAAGAAATGTGATGAAATTTTTCATACATTTTTCGCTTATTTATAATGCAATGAGCGTGAAAGGGAAAAAAATATTCCATCCATTTCAAATTCAAATTCATTTTCAATGATGTAAAACGATAAGACGAAATTTTATTCATAGTGAATTCCATTGGGCATATCGAAAATCATCAACATCAAAATTCTGATTCATATTCTGAATGTATTTTTTTTTTCTCTTGATTTGACTAAAAGCTTGAATTTCAAATGGAAATTTTGTTTGTTTGGCAATGAAAAAAAAGATCATTCTATAAGATTACCATCATTTTACAACAAAAAAGATTTAATATTTGTTAATGGCAATGTGGAATGTATGTGGCGACATTTACAACAACACACACACTACATCCATGGATATCTTGCATTCGTACGATACGTTCGATGATGATGATGATTAAAAAAAAAAAAATAAAATGGTTAATAAAACGAACAAAAGACTAACGACCAAATGCAAGGTCATCACGCCAAATCTAAACGCCGCCAGCAAGCCAGCCAGCACCGTAGCCATCATGATTCGCTGAATATAAATTATGTGGCCATAAAACAAAGCAAAAAAACAAGAAAAATTAACAAATGATTCCCCTGAATAAATTTTTCTTCAAGATTTTTTTTTCGGTTTGGTTTGGTTGAAAAAAAAAACAAAACAAAATTTACAGGGTTGATTTTGTACAAACCTGCAGGTTATTGTACTAACGAAAATAATGAAAATTCTGGCAATGAATTTCATACTTTATTTATTTTAGAGAAAAAGTTTTTAGAATGAGAACTTATTCCCAACAGAGAATCTAATCAAAATTTTTTTTCCATTTTTCTTTGTTCGATTTATTTCATTAGAAAAAATGATTGTTATACGTGTGTGGGGTGTGTTTGTCAATGTCTGTTACTGTCTGGTTTTCAACCAAGAAAAAACTCTTTAAATGATAATGAATTCACCCCATCCAGAAATCAAAAAGTTTTAAAAATTCGAAAATTGATTGTGAATCGATTTGATCAATGTTGAATTTTTCGTTCTCCACATGACTACGTGTGTATTACAAATTCAAAGGGGAAAAAATGATTTTTATTTGTTTTGTTGAGATGCCAATGCCCTTTTCCTATCCCTATTTTTTTCTGTAGTTTTTGCCAGAATGAAAAAATCCACTAGCATCACAAAAATTTTCTGGATCTTTTGGATTCTATTTTCGCTGTTNTGGCAATGTGGAATGTATGTGGCGACATTTACAACAACACACACACTACATCCATGGATATCTTGCATTCATACGATACGTTCGATGATGATGATGATGATGATTAAACAAAAAAAAAATAAAAATAAAATGGTTAAATAACGAACGAAAAAGACTAACGACCAAATGCAAGGTCATCACGCCAAATCTAAACGCCGCCAGCCAGCCAGCTAGCCAGCACCGTCGCCATCATGATTCGCTGAATATAAATTATGTGGCCATAAAACAAAGCAAAAAACAAGAAAAATTAACAAATGATTTTCGTTCCCCTGAATAAATATTTCTTCAAGATTTTTTTTTACAGGGTTGATTTTGTACAAACCTGCAGGTTATTGTACTAACGAAAATTCTGGAAATTCTGGCAATGAATTTCATACTTTATTTATTTTAGAGAAAAAGTTTTTTTTTCTGGAATGAAAACTTATTCCCAATAGAGAATCTAATCAAAATTTTTTTCCATTTTTTTTTTGCCTTCTTCTTTGTTCGATTTATTTCATTAGAAAAAATGATTGTTATACGTGTGTGTGGGGTGTGTTTGTCAATGTCTGTTACTGTCTGGTTTCCAACCAAGAAAAAACTGTTTAAATGATAATGAATTCACCCCATCCAGAAATCAAAAAGTTTTAAAAAAATCGAAAATTGATTGTGAATCGATTTGATCAATGTTGAATTTTTCGTTCTCCACATGACTGTGTGTATTACAAATTCAAAGGGAAAAAATAATTTTTATTTGTTTTGTTGAGATGCCAATGCCCTTTTCCTATCCCTATTTTGTTCTGTAATTTTTGCCAGAATGAAAAAATCCACTAGCATCACAAAAATTTTCTGGATCTTTTGGATTCTATTTTTGTTGTTGTTGTTGTTGTTGTTGTTGTTGTTATTGCTTTATTGCCCCATTCAAATTGATTAGTATGTATGGAGCAATGGCCCTTGATGATGGTGGATCGGTCATAATGACGACGGCGTGTTAATGTGAAATGAAAAATTAAATTTTGGAAAATGAAATTTGGTTACACACAAAGAATATAGCAAAAATTTTCGGTTTTGCACACTAACGCCATCCATTGTTGATGAGATTGAGTGATTTTTTTTTGAAGAAAATCCAACATAGAGCGCCATCTTTGGATCGAATTTTAAAAATAGCGTAAAAGATTCGAATTTGGAAATCATCGAATAATTTTCAATTTTTTTTTTTGAACAATAAATTATTTTACTAATTTTGTTTTCATTTCAAAAAAAGAATATCTCAATAAAAGCAAGAAAAAAAAAGAGTGGAGAGAAGACAAGAAAAATTCAAATGTTCCGGTGTGCGTATTTTGAATTGTATCAAGAATGAAAAGAAAAAGAAAAGCAAAAAAGTCAATAACTTAAAAGTAAGTAAAAAAAATTACACAAGATTTAAATTAAAAAAAAAGAAGAAGAAAAAATTTACAAAAAAAAATTTCTAAACAAAATGGCTTTTTGGTCTGTAAACAGCAGCAGCAGCAGCAGTTTCGGTTAGCAGCAAAATATGACAAGAACAAAAAGAAAGAAAAAATCAAATCAAATTGAAAATTGAAAAAAAAGAAACAATAAAAGTAGATATTTGATTGGTTGGTTTGGTGGGAATTGTTCAATGTTGTTGTTGTTGTTGTTGATAATTTTTTCAGAATAAATATAACAGATTTCTATGAATGTGATTGTGATTTAGTTTGAGTTTTAGTCGATTTAAACAATTGATAACAACAAATAATTGATTATATTTCATATATAGTTTTTCGTTCGTTTGGTTTGTGAATGTCAGTGGTGAAGGTAAAAATTCATTTTGTTTTGTTGTTTTTCCTTTAAAATAATAATAAAATTTAGTAAATTTCTACGGTATGAATAAATGAATGAATAAAAAATTTGAAAATTTTTTAAAATTAAATTAATTTAAAACACTAAAATTGGTTGAGCAAAAATCTTGTTCATTTGTTTTTTGTTTCTTGGTTTGTTTTGTCGTCAATTTTGAATCAGATTCAGGTATTGAGAGTATCAAGAATTTCCGAATTCAAACGCAGATTATGAAAATTTATGAATGGACAATTTGATTTGATTGATCAACAGCAGCAGTAGCAGCTGCAGCAGCAATATTATTAGCATTAGCTGTTGACATCATCGATATATGATAGGAATTATAACCAGTTGTTCCGGTTGTTGCTTGTACTGATAATAATTGTTGTGGACTATCACACATAAATGGTGATGGTGTACGATGACCAGTATGATGATAATGTTGCGATGGTTGTTGTTGTTGTTGTCGTTTAACAGCTTGATGTTGATGATGATGATTGACGGGTGAAATATCCTGTTGTTGTTGTTGTTGATGATTGTGATTGTGATGAAGATGTTGATGTTGATTTTGATTAACATAATGTTGCTGTTGTTGTTGTTGTTGTTGATCCAAATCAACAATTGGTCCTCTTGTTCCAAAATGATTATGCTGTTGTTGTTGTTGTTGTTGCTGTCGATGACTACTATTACGTGAATTAACACGTGGTAATGTTGCATATGATTGTGCTAATGCTTCATTTGGTGTTGATGATGATGTTAATGGTGGTGGTGTATTTGAACCCATTAAATGTGTTGCTGATGATGTACTTGTTAATGTATTAACATTAGTACCTGAACCAGATTGTGGTGTTTGTGTGTTTGTATATTGTACGGTTGATGTTGATGATACTAATGCTTCCAATGCACGATAAAGAAACAGGTAATCATCTTGTGAACGCCAAATACCTGGTCGTCGTAGATGATAAAGTTTTGCATACATATAAACATCAACACAATCTTCAAAATTGAGCTGTTTATATAATGTTGTTAATATGGAAAATGTAGCTGCTTCAGTACCACCAAATTTATCAACAACAACTACCGGTCCTAATACACCGGATGATGTAACCGTATCCGATGTACACCAATCTTGAACAATTTTAATGAGATCAAAAACTTGTGCTAATGGTTGTCGTTCAGGCCAATCAGCACAATGTACTAAACGACAACATAATTCATAATCATCTTGTGTCGATTGTAACATTAAATCACGTTTAGTAATAAAACCAGAACCACTTGGACAGCCATTTGCAATGCTACCATTTTCACAATTTAACATTAAACGTGATTCTTCAATTAATTTTACTTTAAATGAACCATAATCAGCTTCATCTTCTTTATCTGGCCAAAATTGTGGAAATTCTTTTTCATCGATAACGGATGAAAGCATCACTATTGTTTGTACATTATGATCCCAAATCATTTGCCAAAAATCAGGAACAGTATCCCATATTGGATGTTGTGTAATAATAAATTCACGAAGTCGACTAAATCCAGTCAAAAATGTTGCATTAATATAATCAGAACCTTCAGCACCAGGTGTACGTGGTAATATATGAACACGATGTGCTTCCAATGGTATAAGATTTAATGAACGATTTTTAGGTTTATTGCATGGTTTTAATGCTGAAACAACATTAAAATCTTTTGCTTTAAATTGTGTGACCATACGAAATTGTCGTTCAAGTAATGGCCAATGACTATGTTTATCAATTGTTGATGATATTAAACCATTATCCGTACCATTTAATTTTGGTTCACCACCGGTTTGTAATGTTTGTAAATAACGTAATAAATGTGTTGATGGTACTTCAGTATCACCAGCATCAAGAAATTCCATTAATGCATCATGTATAAAAATGTATTGCTCTTCAGTTTGTACAAGAAAATTACGTTGTTGACGAATATGTTTAAGAAAACCAAATACATTGATACAATTACGATGTTTAATTTGTTGCATCATAGCATCAAGTACAATATATGTTCCAGTACGACCAACACCAGCTGAACAATGAACAATAATCGGACCGCCAGCCGGTGGATTAGCTGCAGCTGATTTTCTTATAAATGCTAATACTGGTAATGGATGTTCCGGTACACCATGATCAGGCCAATTTGTATAATGATATTGATAAACTGTACGTTCATTTCCATGTTTCTAATCAAAATAAAATTAAATTTGAAATTAAAAGAATTTTTTTTCACGATTAAAAATACCTTTTTGATTTTAAGATTTTTAACATGAAAAGTACGTAAAGTATATGTAGCCATTACAACTTCTTGTAACAAGCGAACCTGTACAATACCATATGTTTCGGTACCATCTTTTGGCCAATATAAATCGCATTTTCTCTGTGTAAATTTGAAAATGTGTAAAAACAAAATTTATTAGTATAAAATTCTTAAAAATTATAAATTGATGGAAGCAACATGGAACAAATGAAAAGAAAATGACAAACAAATTTTGAGAGGGATATGAGAGATTGATACTCACTCCATCATCCATCATTTCAGCATGACGCTGAAGATAACTCTGAGAGAAGAAAAAAAAGTTGGAATAAAAGAAATGGAAACAAAAAAGACCAGAAAAAGTGAAAAAAAAGATGAAAGAGAGAGAGAGAAAAAAAAGACAAAGTATCAATCATTAGAGATGAAATAAATCAAGAATCTGTAGGAAATGATTATAGTGACAGTAAAACACACACACTGAATGAAAATGATTTCAAAAAAAGCAACATGAATTTTCAGCAAGCAAATTCACAGCCAATTTTAAACAAATGAAAAAATGAAATTTCCAAATAACTAACCCTTCCACGTTCCATTAGATTGGTAATCATAACAACAATGCAAACTCTTTGTTCCCATATCATACGCCAATAATCATCGAATGTAGCCGGTAATGGACCTTGTGTACCAATATATGCTTGTGATTTACGATAACCCTTTATTGATGAAGTGGGTGGAAAAAAAAGCAAAATTTGATTGAATTATTAAATTAAATAATCTGGTTGATAAAAAATAACTTACATCAATATAATTAGCATTAATATAATCATGACCAGTTTTCTTTTGTCCAGGTAATGGTTTCAATAATACACGTGTATGATCATATGCAACAATATTAACATAACGATTTTTAGTTTTATTTTCAGTCATATGTGAATGTTCAGATGAAAGACGATCGGCATGTACTTCGGTTGAACGTTGTAATTGTTCATATTCACGAGTGAAACCAATATCACTATCACAATGTAATTCTTGTACATGTCTTGACCATTGTGTAGTTATTATTGGTGGATATTCTGCTTCATCAATATAAACTTCAGATAAATTTGGTGATGATCTTGGATTACTACTACCACCACCACCACCAACAGCTGGATCATCCAGATAATAATAGGCTGCTTGAAAATATTTTCTCCATAGAAAAAAACTAGCCAATGCCAATAGGAATGCCAATAGTGCACATGTTAATCCGGCCATTAATGAAGCGGAAAATATTTCCGAACCAGATGCATAGCCTAAAGATAAATCGAAAACATTGAATTAATTGATTGATGAATGATACAAAATAGACAAATCAAAAACAAAACACAATGACTAATCTAAATTCTAATTTTGTTTTTTTTTCGCTCATCAGAAATATATCAGAGATAAAGAAGTTGTTATTAAGAAGGCAATTTAAAGCGTATGCAAATGCTCCCAAAGGAAAAAATCACCCAAAAAAAAATTGCTCTCAAAATAATTTGATTTTGTTTTGTGTTTTGGTTTGATGGAAAAAACAAAGATTTTTGACGATAAAAATATAGAGAGATAGATAGAAAAAAGAATATAGTCATGATTAGTAAGATTTATAAAAATAAGGAAAAAGATAGAACTTACTGATACACTTACTCTGAAGAATAACTTTACGTGATTCACTAAAATCACCACGATAAAGTTTATTACTTTCTTTCAGACTTCGGGTTGCTCCTTGAACTTTAACTTCATATAATGTTCCTTTAGTTAGATTGGTAATTTTAGTCTAAAAAAGAATTTCAAAAAAATATTAGATCAATTTGAATTTTTTGGAAAAAAATCATTTCTTACATAATGTTCAAATGATGTATCAAAACCGGGTATATTTATAGGAATTTCTTCAAAATTATCATCCGAATCATGCTCGGAACGATAATAAACAAAATAATAATCAATTTTATGATAAAAAAGTTCTGGACGTGTCCATTGTACAATAAGTGCATCATCACCTTCACAGGTAAGATTAGTTATATATGGTGCAGATGGTCCAGAAACATCTGTACGAAATTCAATTGTTCTTGATGCTTCACCTTCTGAACGTTCAGTATATGCTTTTGTCCAAACTTTATATTGTGTAAATGGTTCTAAACAGAATATAGAAATTTGATAAAATTAGTTTTTGTGGCAATGATAATCCTCATCATCAATCATATCTTACTTAGATTATGAATAGTATATTCAAATAAATGTTGTGTAAAATCCGATGTTTGTAAACGTTTTACTTCAGTTAGATTAGCAGCCATATTATGTACATAAATATGATAGCCATTTATACGGCCATTTAGTTGTAATGGTTCGTTCCATTGTACACGTGCCATTAAATTATTTATACGTTGTACAGTAACATTACGTGGTGGTGATGGAACTATAAAAGAATTTTAATGAAAGGGAAAAATCAATCAATTTTCATTCCAAAAATTCACCAAAAAATGATACATTACCTCCTTCATCAGTAGTAGCAGCCAATGTAGCAACAGGACCATCACCTTTTGGATTGAAAACACGTAATGTAACAAAATATTCTGTATATGGTTCTAAATTTCTTATCGTATAATTCTGTGTAACCGACGATGATGATGATGATGATGATGGTAATTCGGTTGTAGCAACGATATTAGATGTTGTTGAATCATTTGATGATGATGATGGTATTTGTAATTCATCGTTGGCAACAACAAAAACATATAAAAAAGATAATAATAGAAAAATATTAGACAACAGATAAATAATTATTCTTGTTGTTGTTATGTTGTGACAATTTGATTGTAAAAATAGTGATGATGATTTTTGACACAAAATAAAAGATTGTTGTTGTCGTTTATGTTTTTGTTGTTTGTGTTGTTTCCATCGCAACGATGGTTGTGATCTGATATTGTTTAAAATTTTCAATGTTGACGATGATGGTGATGATGGTTGTTGTAAATGATAACGACACACAAACTGTGGACACATTGATCAATAATAATAATAAAATTTACGATTTTTTTTCCTGGTTGCTGTGTTTGTATTGTTATCGTCGTCGTCGTTGATGATAATGATAGAAAAGTGTGATGATCAATAGAAAAAAAATCAAACCCAAAGGGCGCCAAAATTGAATAAATAAATCAACAGATTTTGTCAAAAGTAAAAAAAAATCTTCATGAATTTTCGATAGGATTTCTGATTGAAATCAACATTTCAAAAAGGCTTTGAATAGATCAAATTGGAAAAAATTGCTGTTTCAAGATCAAATTCGATTGAAAAAGTTGATTTGATAGTGGATGATCTTGAATTTAATTCTTTGAAATCGAATCGTTATCATTGATTTTTGTTTTTTTCCAATAGCAGAATCCAACAACAACAACAAAAAAGTAGGACAAACGAGTATGATGATGATGATGATATTCGGCGAATCCTTCTCTTGTCTTTTTCACCACATTAATTCATTCAAATAGAAAAAAAAACCTTTGACTACTTTTTTTATATTTCTCATTAGTTGTTGCTCGAACGACTACTACGACTACTATCATCATCATTTGCGAAATAAAGAAACATAGGTCAAACATAATAATCTTTCTTTCTCTTTCTCTACATAACAAAGATGCAAGATGTTCAATTAAACTGTTTCAAGATGAGTTTCTTTTCGCACTGTTACTGTTCTTGTTCCAAAGATATCTTTCTTGTTGGACAAAACAAATGGCTAAATATAATGTCGTATGGATTGATGATGTTTGTATCATTTGCACACACACACACACAGAGAGATTTATATGCTGATCATCATCATTTAATGATGATTTAAACACGAATTTTTTTTTTATTAAAAAATTTGATGAAATAGACACGTAGACACACGTTTGTTCAATTGTTCTATGGGTTAGATCAATTTTTTTTTTTCATTCAAAATCGAATTGAATTTAATCTCAATGATAACACATTGAACCAGTTATTGACCTGTATGAGTTATCGATATTTATTTATTTCTCATTCTTCTTTGATGATGATTACATCAACAATATTGCCAGATATAAAAACAAGGCGGGGATATTATGGATGAATGAATGGATCAGATCAGATTGAGAATTTTTGTTTTCAGTGAGTTGTAGTGGTGGTGGTCATACATTGGCGAGAAAACATCATCAACAACAAAGAACTTTGAAATTTTTTTTTTTAGATCAATGAATGAATGAATGGACAGAGAACGTTTTTTTTTCTGGTTTCAGCTGGTATGTTTATGTTTGATCACTGAGAATACCAAGGCTAACCGAACGAGAATGTTGTTTTTTTTTGTGTGTGTGTGAGTGTTTATTGGTTGGCAAATTCACGACGTAAACAAAACAACAACAACAAAAACATTGAATGAATACAACTTGTTTTCGGTGGTTTTTTCTTGTTCAATTCAATGTGTGGTGTTCGTCTTTTGCTCGTCGTTGTTTTTGATCATAATTTTTTTTTAAGAATAATTTGAATCATCATTCCAAGATGGCGTCATAATAGCCATTTTGAATTTTTTTTTTGTTGAAAATTGAAAAAGTTTAAAAAATGCATTGCTTACCTTTGCTTCAGGATCACCAATAGTAATTTCACGTTCATGTAATACTAATAATGAAGCTGAATTACCATTTTTATGATAACGTAAACGATAACCAATAAATTCACCATGTATTGTATTACGTGGTGGTGGATGCCATTCAAAACTTAATGATGATGATGATTTGTTTACGCATCGGAATCCAATTGGAATTCCATCCGGAACTGAAAAAAAAGACAAAAAAAAAGAATTTTGTTGAATTTTATAGTTTTTTTTTAAATGAATAATAACTTACTTTCACGTAAGGTAACAGTATAATAAGATTCTTTACTTGGTTGACTAGCACCGATTGCATTAACAGCAATAACACGAAATGAATAAACAGTAAATGGTTGTAATTTATCAATATAATATTCAGTACGATTATCTAATGTTGATATACCATTCATACTATCCCAATCACCATTTTCACCAATTCTATAAAGTAAAAAAAAAGAATTGTTAATATGAGGGAAAATCAAAACAAAAAAATGAATAAATGTATTACCTTGTATGAATAATATAATTCAATACAGGTGAATTATGTGAATTAAAACTTGGTGCCCATGATAAATTTACCGAACGTGATGTAAATGACATTATGAATGGTTTACCTGGAGGATCTGGTACATCTATTGAATTTAAAAGAAGAAAAAAAGAAAATGAAAGAAAGAAAAATTGCATAAGATTAGTAAAATAAGAAAATTTGAAATTTGAATAGATCAAAATGTCAATATCAATGCAGTCGATTCAGAAAAAAAGTAAAGAAAAAAGAAAAATCCGTATACATTGTGTTGGTGTTGTCAACAACGGCACAAAAACGAAAAACAAATTACAGATCGACAATTTGTCTTGACTTGGGCGAACAAACGTAAAGAAAAATTAACAATAAGCCACGATCATTATCATTATCATCATCGTTGACGCCAACGCATTGTAAATATTTGAACGAAAAAAAATTAAACAAAAAAAATGATTGTGGGCGACAAAGATGTTCAACAAAAACACAATCCATCTTGTCAATGTTTTTCTTTTATTCAACAATGATACCGAAAAATAACTTAGAAAATAATTCATTGAAGATGTGCCCAAAATTCATTCATTTGTTTGGTCGGATGCGGAAATTTAAATATTTCATATTTCTCATTTGTCAATTTTCCATATACAAAAGGAAACTTTGCACGTGTAAATAATCAATCAAAAGAAAGAAAGAAAAAGAAAAGGTATAATGTGATTAATTACTTTGTTTCAAACCAATTGAATTAATTAATTATTTTTCATTTGACATCATGTAGGTCGAAGCGAAAAAGCTCATCATCATCATCAAGGAAAGATGCTGAAGAAGATTGGTGAATTGATGAATTTCAAGTGAAAAAGAAAAAAACAAATTCTATCAAAGTAAATAAATGATGATGATGAAGGCGAAAAGGAAGAAGAAGAAAGAAGAAGAAAATGTAATTAAAAGATTTGTTGTTGTTGTTGTTGTTCAATGACCTTTGTTGAATGTGGGTGTACACGTTGAATCACACTTATATTCAAACACAAAGTGACAAACCAAAAGTCAAAAGTTTTCACCGGATATAGTTATTTTTCTTGTCTTTTGATTACTTAGAAGGGTTTTCTAACATTATCAATGAGGGAAAAACGTAGAATAAACTGAAAAAATATGAACAAAATAAACAGCAACCCAAAACAACCAAACCAAAATACAACAATAGTGGATTGAAATTCAATTCAGACCGCACCTTAGATCAATGATGATGATGATGATGGTGAATGGTGTGTTTGTGTGAACAATAATTTTGTTTTGTTTTGGCGATTATGATTAAGATTGAAGAAAACTTTAAAGAATTTTTAAATTTAAAAAAAACCAAAAAAGAAAGAAATTTGAGAAAAATTTCAATTTTAAAATTATGATTATCATTCCATACAAACAACCACAGGTGTACACGTGTGTCTGCTGTGTGTGTTGTTGTAACAAAATTATGATAATATTTTTTTGATTATGAAGATGATGATGTAATCAAACATATTGAACATTCAAAACAAAAAATTAATATTTTGTTACAAATTCTTATTATTATTATTAAAATGGACACGCCTGAACGCATGACCTTTGACTTGTGACATAATTTTTTGTTGAACTCTCACTATTCAATTCTGTTTTTTGGTTTTGGTAATTTCATTTCATTTTTCATCATCATCATAAGATTTGCATCGGTCATACTCTTTGTGTGCTACCGGTCTTTTTGTTGTTGATGATTATGATGATCCTACCCATTTTGTTTTGGTCATCATAATCATGATGATCATCATATCGTCCAAACCCATATGTAGTGAAAGTTAAAGTAAATGAAAAAAAAGATGCGTTGTCAAATCAAATTATCATTTTGCCCAATCAAAGTTTATGGTGATTCATCACCATCATCATCCTTGAAGAGGAGAAGATCGGATGATGGACGACAAACTTTTGTTTCTCAAATTAATCAAGCACCAAACATTGAAAAATAATCAGTCTGTTAAGTTTTTTCATTTTTTGGATGTTTAATGAAGAAAAACTTCAATCAACTCTGAAAGGAAAGGAAAGAAAAACAAAAAACGTAAAAACGGTCTTTCACAATAAACAAAAACAACAACAACAAGTGATCATCACCATCACCATTGCCTGCTGTGATTTTTTCATTATCTTTGCCGTCATCAGCGTTCAATCAGCGAAATTCTTCTTTTTTTTCTGACTACATTCATGAACTGTTTTTATGGTCTATGTCAAAACATCAAATATTTTTTTTCAACAAAAATTATTCTTATATTGATGAAATGAATAGAGATTCTTTGAACAATGTTGATGATGATGATGATGATGGTAATTGGACATTGTTCTTCGAACAACTTTTCCAGCTAAATGAAATTTTAAATTTAAATTTTTTTTCCATCATTTATAAGAAACACGGAATTTCTGATTAAAAATTGGCGAAATCAGAAAAAATTTAAATGAAAAAATTCAATTAGTGAACGAAGAAAAACAAAATCATCTTGTTTTTTCATTGAATAGGAACAATCCAGAGTTGAACACGAGTTTTTCTTTTCCACGATGGTGGTTATATAGAGAGAGAGAGAGAGATTGAAAATAAGTGATAACACATCACCAACATATAGGGATCTTGTTCAATCTTTTAGTTGTTGTTGTAAGTTAATTTACTCATTTATTTTCATTCATCCACATTTCATGATCATCATCAACTTGAATTTTGAAAAAAGAAAAACTTTAAACATTTTATTTTATCTGGACATGCATATCATTATGATCATCATCATCAACATAATCATGTTGTGCATGTGTGTAATTGATTTATTTTTATTTTTTTTTCTCTGTCGAAAAACAATTGAAGAGATAAAATCAAGATTCAAAAACAAAAAAATAGATCAAAAAGGCATCATTTGGCTACTGTGTGTGGTAATGAAACAACAACAACAACAACGAAAAAATTAATTATTTATTGAACATTTTTCTTCGTCATAAGGATGGTGTGAATTTTGACTTTTTGTAAAGAAATTTTCAAATTATTACAACTTGGGTTAGATTCTGTTTTCAACAGCCGAAATGTGTGAGAAAAAATTGAAAAGTAAATCAATTTTTGGGATTATTTTGACTGATTGAAAAAAAAATAAATTAATTTTTCATAATTCACATACATAGAATTTTGGTAATATTTTTCATAATTTTACATTTTTGTATGAATGAATGAATCTGGTGTGAATTTATTGATTTTGGTTGTTCATTTTTTTTCAAATTTCGATCAATCGATTGTGTTAACATTGATGTAAGATGTGAATTTGCGTGTGTAAAATTAGTTTGTGAAAGTGAAAAAAATTCATATTTTTTTCAATGATAATTTCCAAGATTCATTATCAATGTTTTTTTTTTTTTGGTATGGTTGAATGTATCGAAGCGTATAGAATTTGTAAGTTTTTTTGTCACATTGAGTGAAAACAAACGAAAATTTCTGTCAACCGTATACGATAAAGTCCTATAGGATTTCGTTGAACCATAAAGTTTTTATGTTGTTGATCATATCATATCATCAACCAAAAAAAACATTCAAATTCTAAGATTTAAATAGAATCTTTCAATTCATATCTCGAAATAATAATTTCATTTAAGAAATTATCATTATCATCCTTTTGAGAAATATTCCTATAGAATCATTGAATCGTTACATTTGTTGTTCAATTCATTAAGAAAATGAAAAAAAAGTACAAATTTAATATTTCCGATTTGAGAAACATCAAACACCTTAAATCAAACGAAAACCAATTTAAATGAATCGATCGAGTGTGTGTGTGTGAACAAAATGTCCAAAAAATTGAAATTTCATAACAACAACAGGAAAATTCTAAATTGATCGGAAAAAAAATCGATCAAAACTTTGATCGATCAATCGATCGATCGATTGATCTATATTTAGCCAAAAAATTGATCAGATTTTTACCAAAACAATTTTAAGAACAAAAAAAAAGTATTGAATATTGTCCGAGGTAAAAATGTAGCCAGGTAACAACAACCAGAAAACAAAATGCTGAAACGTTTAAAACAAAAGAGTTTACCTCCAGTGTGTGCATGATTGTTTTCTATTTAGATTTGATTTGATCTATTTTTTTTCTTCTTCTTTTTCACTCGATTTTTGGATTAAATTTTTTCGGTGTTCTTTTTTTCTTTGTTTTTTTTTGTTTTTTTTTTTTTTTTGTTTCCAAAATTGCTTTTAGTTTGGTTCGTTCGTTTTATTACATAAACACGAATTTAATGTTCAATCATGATTAATAGCATGATAACGACGACGACGACGACGAAGGGAATCATTGTTGGACATGGATGTTGCTTTTTTTGGGTTGTTTCAGGTTAAATGTCAATGTTTTAATGATGATGTTCAACAACGACGATGGCGATCAATTTGAATTGGTTTTCAATCAATTTTGCGGGAAAAAAAAGAAATCAATTTCATTTAATCGATCAGATGATGATGTAGTGGTTTGAAGAATTTTTTCCCTTTAAAAAAATCTGATCTAGATTAAAATCTAGAGCAAATTGTCATCACCATTTTTTTAAAAACCCGAAAATGTCAAACAAACGACAATTCGGGAATTTTTATTTTGATTTTCGTTTCGCTTGCTGTCTATTATTGATGATTGTTGTTTGTTGAATGTTTTGATTTATCTCTTCATTCATTCGATACAAATAAACTTGTTACGATTATCATCACATATGCCACCATATTGATTTTTGTTTTCATAAAGATAAGTTTATTAGGTTTTTTTTCACCCCCTCTTTTGACGACTTTACTTTTTTTTCTTCGTTGTTTTTCGTTTGTTTATTATGTTGTCAGATAAAAACAAAAAAACAAAATCTAGAAATTGCTTAAGGGGGGAACCACCACCAACAAAAACATTTTCATTAAGACGATAAACAACAACAACAGAAAATCTCCCACCAATCATCATCATCATCATCATAACCATAATAATCATCGCCTACCATTCCTTTCTT